CTAAGTGGCAGAAGTTAGGTTTAACCAAGTTAAACCCTTTTCCATAATTCAGGGTTGATTCAATTAGTTCATAGGCATTTCATGTTATGCTTAGCAATGCCCAGCATTTCTCCTGAGATAACTACGAACCCTAAAATGTTTCCTGAAATCTAGCATGAGCTAACTCATGCATTATACCAGAAAAACAAACACGCGCCCTTGTTGGTCACTACCTGATGTCATAAAATCTAGCATGGCGTCCAATACACTCTGTTCTAGCTAACCAAACTTACCCTGCAGTACACTACACACGAATGTCATGACATCAGTCAAGACATCTACACACAACAATGTTTTACCATAAATGCAGCCAATCAAGAACATCTACAAACTCCCCATTTGGCAAAATTTTGGCTAAAACAATCTGTCACCATATCAGAGAACATATGCAGCAAAAAAATTAACAACACACATCTAATCATGCAGGATAGCTACTAGCTAATATTACCACTCAACACACATGTTATACTACTAAATCAGATTCAACTACACTCTCAATCACACATACTAACCATATCAGCTTCTTGACAATAATCAGCCACTTAGGATCAATCTGTTCACACACAATCATCCAGACTGTCAAGGCATCTAGGTTGACATCCTGAAAAGCACTTGTTCCACAACACAAAATACCATATGCTAGTTCAGACTACAGATGTCACAACATTTTGTGGAACATCCTGTGATACTCCCCCTCAACTGATGCACAGCCAAACACAATCTGCAAGCAACCTGCAGAAACACACACTACCACCAATAGCTAGGATACTACTAAGTTCCAACCAGGAACACACACACACACATCAGTAACAGCAAACATCAAACACACAGGATCATCATCCTGCTCACAACCAGGAGATCAACTCCAGTGCATCAGCACACCTGCAAATCACACCAGACTTTGATTTTTTTTAGATCCACCCTATTTGATCAAAATATGATTTAGAGATACATCTTTGTATGTTATTTGGGTATGATCAGAGTGGCATCCCTGAAATGTCTCATAAAGTCCTTTAAAAGGTATTGGGGGCAAGGGGGAATTATTCTGAAGATGCCTCTCCGCAAATCTCTCTGAATCATTCCAGAGCAGCACCATTGTCTTAACATTGTAATTTTTATGCCAAGTTATATTAAAGTAAAATCAAAATTAAATCAAGTATATATTAAAGTTTAATAAAAGTAAAAAAGGCATACATTAATTCAATATGCCAAGACCATACACAGCATTTGTCTGAAAATACAAAAGAATAATAGATTCAAACATAAACTACTAGGTATGTCTAACCTCGTTCCTTCTCATCGTCCGCTTATACTGCACGACACTCTGTAACTTGACAATCATGCTCTCCAAGAGGGCCAACTGAGAACTACCTTCCACAAAAAATCATGCCTTTATACCTGCTCTACCCTCCATAACACACCGACATACTGCCTATACGTCATTGGTGTGGTCATCCCTAGCCTCGAGTACCTCTTGATTAGCTTACCTATGTGGTCTTCCAGAAGCGTATGATATCATGATAGGGTGTGAAACCTTATAGAACTATGTCATGTAGTCGTCTGCATGAGCCTACTCTATAGGAGCTAGTACCCTGCAATAATCATATGGTACGATGTGACTCTCAAAATTGTCAAGTATCTCATCAAGACTTTTGTGCCCAATGGTGGGAGGGGCGGACTCATAGGGGGGTCTTGGAATAATCTGTAGATAGAAAAATTGTTTATTCACTCGCTTGGGAAAATAAGGATACATAAGATATGACCCACATACCAACCATCCAATGTATAAGGAAATTATGTCAAATAGACGCGTCTCGTGGTGACTCCCATATGGTCAAAAGGCAATGTCATCTATTACAATACGATCAATATGCACTTTGAATGAATTGATCACATTATTCCCCCTATACAGAAGAAATTCGGCAACATGTGACTAATTCTCAGTGTATGTAGGCATAGCTTCCCATTTGAGGATGTGATGGAAGTGGGGGATAATCCATCCCTTAAAATGATTCAGATACAATATTAATAACAAGTGTAACAAATGAACTATGAAAATACTAGTATCAGTAAATTATCATAAGCAACGTGCAGATCCTTGTCATCTGATTTGTCTTTCAAAGACAGCCTTCACTTAGCTTCGAGTACAGATGGACCAAACATGAGATTCCCCAGTTTTAATTGTGAATCACATTTAAGTCGATGAAGTACTGAAGTTAGAACACATCGACATATGTTGCACTTTTGTCCACAAACATGGAAGTGTCAACCAAGAATACTAGGTAATACCTTAATGCATAAGTCTGATGATGCTCAATCTACATATCACCACCTTCGGCATCCACAACCCACTGCAGGTGTTCTTTACAAATCTTTTCCAAAAAAAACAAAATCCTACATGAGCACCTCTTGTGGTAGTTGTCTCCTCAGAGGCCTCAGTTGGGTCAGCCCCTAAATGAGTGACTATCATATCGATGACTTCCTCTCGACTGATCCTTCTGTGGCCCATTAGTTTTCTGCTTATGTGAAGATGCAGGAGGCATGATATATCATCCAAGGTGACAATCATCTCACTTTTAGAAAGGAGGAAAGATGAAGTCTCTAAATTCCACCTCTGCAAAATTTGTTTGCATGTCGTGGGATATGGTCTCATATGTAGTAAAACATAAACCGACAAGACCGAAATAGTAAGCACAGTAGGTTGCCTCAACTCCAATGTCTTTCGATTTTTGTTTACCGATACAAACATGTATGTTCTTGGAAAAAATAAAATATCATTGTCAGTATCGATTTAATTAGTTGAAAACATATGTATTGTGAAAGAAAAAATATATACTTCTCCTTCACAAACATGCCTAGCAGTATGGTCTGCATAGAGATGAAGTAAAGAGGTGTCAAATATGACTCTTGAATAACTCTCTAATGGGGCAGCGGTTCCTTTTAAGCTTCAGGATCTACTGCATCATCTGAGGACTCGTGGCCCCGTGAAGTGGAGGCATGAGAGAGGTGGCTACAAGAAGCATAACTAGATGGTTGGGAATCTCAATCGGCGCTGCAAACCAGATGGTTATGAACCATCAAAAAAGTTATCATTAAAAAGTGGCTCCACGGTCCTGACTACGGCCCTCTCACGTCGTACCGACGCGGTTTGGGACACATCGATGGCTTCCTCTCGACCGATCCTTCTGTGACCCAGTAGTTTTTCGCTTATGGGGAGATGCAGGAGGCATGATACGTCATCCAAGGCGACGTTCATCTCACATTTAGGAAGGAGGAAAGATGAAGTATCTGAATTCCACCTATCTGCAAAAGTCATTTGCATGTTGTGGGATATAGTCCCATGTGTAGTAAAACATAAACCAGCAAGACCGGAATAATAAGCAACAGTAGGTTGCCTAAACTCCAATATCTTCTGATTGTCGTTTACCGATACAAACATGTACGTTATTGGAAAAAGAAAATATCATTTTCAGTATCGATTTAATTAGTTGAAAACATATGTATTGGAAAAAGAATATATACATCTTTTTCACAAATATGCCTAGCAGTATGGTCTACATATATATGAAGTAAGGAGGTGTCAAATGGACCTCATGGATAACTCTCTAATGGGGAAATGACAGTGGCTTCCTTTTGAGCTTCAGGGTCTACTACATCATCTAGGGACTCGTGGCCCCGTGAAGTGGATGCATGAGAGAGGCGGCTACGAGAAGCATAACTAGATGGTTGGGAACCTCAATGGGCGCTGCAAACCAGATGGTTGTGAACCATCAAAAAATTTATCATTAACAAGTGGTCCCACGGTCTTGGCTACGGCCCCTCTCACTTCGTACCGACGCGGTTTGGGACACACGTCTAAGGTTAACTATGTCAGGGTTGGCTTCATGGTTGTTTGTAGTCATTGCACATGTGTTACAAACCAACACAAAGAAAAACACCATATCAAGACAAATCCACAAAATCAATCAAATTTTAGCCTAAGTCAAATCTAGAGATGCATCTCCAAAAATAACTCTGGAAAAATTCGAAGATGCATCATCAGACAAACCTGTGTTTCTTAACCATGGAAGAAACACCATTGTTGTCCTAACCCTCCAAAAATATGTCAATGCTTGTTTTGTAGGCTACCAATTTCATTTACACTACTATCTAATGTACCTAAAACAACTAATGTTGCTTAAACAACTAACTACAAATCAAAACATAAAAAGAGATAGCATTTTGAAAAACTTATCAAATCAAATTGATGAGAAGTATAAGCTTGAATGTTTGAGATAGTGGAAAGGAGGAGAAATAACTTCAATGGTAGAAGCTTGAATGAATGGATGTGAAGCTTGAATGTTGCATAGCTCAAATGATTTGTTTTAAGAACTTTTTAGAAAATGAAGAAGGAGGAAGAGGGAAGGGTTTGGCGTGGGATATGAAACAAAAGCGTCCGAAGATGTATCTTCAGACCACCCACTAATTTTTGAATAATGGTGTTTACAGAGATGTATCTTCGAACGTACCTTTTATTTATATAGAAATGCATCTCTGAATTAAATTTTAGTATAATAGGGTGCCTCTACAATATGATCTGAATAATGGCTTAAAAATAATGTGTTCGGAGATGCATCTCCGAAAGCTATGGACAATTATGATTTTTCCCGGTGGTGGGAAAGTACCAGTGGTGGGAGAGCACACATTAGGATGAAAAGAGCAATTCTCTTTTGTTTATGTTTCTTTGTCAAGAAATATAATATTCACTTGCCACACATGCAAAAACTGGCCCAAAACTAAGCCCATTATGTAAACTAATCCATAAACTTCAAAATCAAAATTACAAAACCATCCTTCATGATGATATCCATTCTAGTGCCACTCAGTGGACACCATAGCACTAGCACTTCCCAAATGGATATAACAACTATTTCCACATATTTATTTCTCAAAATCAAACTCATTTAACTTCCTGCACCAATATGGCTCCTCTAACAAACTTGCATGGAGTCTCTAAAACTCTAACTCCAATTACATGCCTTCTTCCAAATGCACAAAGAACCCTTAGGAAAGGACAAGTAGTTCTTGGATTTCTTGGAAGCAAAACAAAAAATCCATCAGAATGTGACTCAAACTCAATTCACACTACAAGAAGAACAGCTGCAATAAGCTTTGTTTCTCTAGTCCTTACATGGCAATTCAATGAGAAGATTTCGCTAGCTAAGGATAATGGATTCTGGATTGACGGTCCTATTCCAGAACCAACTGTCACTAATAGTAAGCTTTATGTTTATGTTTCACTTGTCATAGGAACAATTATGAGTGGTTTTTGTTGTTGTCTTTTTTACTATGTTGTCTTGTCTAGTTTTGATGAGAATGATGATGATTTGGTTAGATATTGCGAATGAGAAAACGGGGACACGATCTTTCATTAAGAAGAAACTCTACATGGCAAATATTGGAGCGAAAGGAAGTGTTTTTAGGATCAAGAAATATTCGTTTGATCTTCTTGCAATGGCGGATTTGATTGCACAAGACACACTCAACTATGTTAGGAGGTACCTAAGACTCAAGTCTACTTTCATCTACTTTGATTTTGACAAGGTTATCTCTGCTGCTCCGGTTGATGATAAGCAACAACTAACTGACATGGCTAACAAATTGTTTGATAATTTTGAAAAGGTATGTTCAATTTTACCCTCCATAACATAGAATTGTTTAAATTGCGGTTACACAGATGAACGTCGCGGATTTAATGCCTCTACACAGCTACCAACTCCCAACTACTCCCAACTAAACTGCTTAATAGAAGATTGTTTGATTAATGAATTGAGTTTATAATGCTATGATTACAGCTTGAAGAAGCTTCAAGGAACAAGAATCTAGCAGAAACACAAGCATGCTATAAGGAAACTGAAGTCATGCTTAAAGATGTCATGGACAAGATGACTATAATGTACAAAACAATTTGACATGATTTTGATTATGTTGTATTATTTTTGCTCTTATTATAAAACCTTTTTTTTCTTCATTTTTCATTGTTGTAGATAGATAAATGTTATGCATACATGAATTTCACCAAATTGTCAAATGTATGTGTTTTTATATCACAAAACTTAGACATTAAATTTGACTTGGATAAGAGTATTATAGTTTTTTTAATATATATCAAGAATTGTCACTTTACCACAAGGTATGACCAAATTAATTGACTTATTAAATAATGTATTAATGTTAACCAAGCACTTTGCTCTAGCGGTAAACGAGCTCTTGCTAAAGAACGGAAGTTCAAGAAATACCAAATTCGATTTCTGGTGAGAACAATAGGCCAGTGTCAATACCTCTCAACATCCGTTTGATTAATTCTTCGAAATGAATCATGATAAATAAGTCTAGTAGTTTACTGATAAACATAATATAGGGCAGGTAGAATGAAATTATGATTATACAACAAGCAGAATTGCAAGTGGGACTAAAAGAACATGAGACTTGAATGTCTTTAACTAGATGCAGAGTAGTACTTAGTAACTTCTTCACTATACAAACTATATGTATGATGTTAGAAATTTAGAATTAAGTTATTCAGATAGGTTAACCAATATATTCATGATTTCTTGTTATGAGATTAGAAATAGCTCAGGCGAGATTCTGCTGGGCGACTGTTGGTGGTGGTGCGACGAGGTGTTCCGATTTCACAAGCGTTTACTCTTGATGCGAACCGGAGTGAGCATAGCGACTCTCCGGATGAAGCTTGGTCAGGAGAGATGTTTACAAACATTAATGTCTTTGAGTCTCCGCCTAGACAAGGCTGTTCAATAAAATAGAAATAGCTTATTTATAAGCTGTTTATCCAAACGGAACCTTAGCTTATATATGTTTAAGATTAGTAAGAAAGAAAAATCACCTGAAGTAGGTATGTAAGTTTTGAGTTTCTGAATGGAATGTGATCTTCCTTCTTGGCCAAGGCAAATATAACATCGCTTAGTGATGATAAACTTTTGTTTATTGCCTAATTACAAGAGAAAGAAAGTTTTGATTGTTATAAATCAAAGAAGTAGAACTATATGAAAATCGAAAATATTATATAGTTTTACACACTTGAGTTTCTTTTAATCGGTCCCCGGTTGAGCCGCTCCTTGAAAGACGTTCGCTCCCGGCAAGATCAATGAGGTTTAGAATACCTTGTACTTGTTGGTCAGTGCTCTAGCAAAACAAAGAGATAATAAGTTGCGATTTGGTCGGCATTAAATGGATCGAAACAACTTAATTAAGCGCTTATAGCATATGCATGTTTACGCATAAGTCGATTCAAACAAGTCCTATGATAGAAACTGAGGCTGGAAGGAACATTCGAACCTCATTTACACCGTATATTCGAAGAGTGAATACGAAATGACTTCTTGAAGATTGTTCATTCATCTGAGTTTTTCCCACAGATCTAAATAGAAGTAAACAGAAAAACATAGTCAAATTTTCCATCCAAAACCAAAGTGATCTTGATCATAACAAAAACAGATTAAGAAATGCGATATAGAGATTACGAAGAACTAGTATATGATGTAATAACCTGCTGTTTGCAGCTTGGTTTAAAAGAAATGCGACCTCTTTTACGCTCTGAACATCAACCACTGTAAGATCGGAAACATGTGTATTTCCACTGGCATCATGTTTGATTGTGTATTGCTTCCCAGGAGTACCGTTTTCTACTCGAGTTGCGTCTGATGCGGACTTATTTGTTGTAGACAACAAATCGCGAACCGTTTCATTGTATATTTCCAACATTGACACCTGTAAATTTTTACAAATGAAAAACCTTATTAGATCTATACATCATGTTTAAGAACATGTAAACATTGTAATGATGGATGAACTAAGACGTTTAGAAGGGAAAAAAATCGTTATCACCTGCATTTCGTATTTCCATCCTTGTGGTTGTTGAGACTGTTTAGTTTGAAATATTTGTTCGAGCGAACGTGGTATCAACCCTTTTTCACCGGGATGTCCAGGCCTACCCATCATTGTATAGGTTTTCCCCGAACCTGTCTGACCATACGCGAAAATGCAAACCTGGAAAAGAAAATGTCTCAAATTTTGAGAAACATTTGAGGAAAAAATGAATGCGTCCAAATCGATAACATGCACAAGCCCTTATAACACAAGTGTTCACCGTATAAATACTTATGTATAAGAAATTTCTATAACAAAATATGAAATAAAGTCAAATTATTTTCATCAAGAGCACTTATTACCTTATAACCATCAAGAGCACTTTGCACAAGCTGAGAAATTTCGGTAAATACTTCTTGTTGTGACGCATCGGGTGCGAAAACTCTATCGAATGTGAAAGAATGTTTTTGTCCTAAAAACAGCAACATAATTAAATGAATAAGCTAAAACAAGCATACATCAATCAGAAGAACAAAAATTTACGAACGAAGTCACATCATCACAAGATATACCATTTTGTGCCAATTCAACGCCTCGTCCGGAAGCTTCCATTGAGGTAGGATATGATATAGTCTTTCCTTCTGCACTACAACCTTCCTCGGGTAACAAAGGCCGCACTCTACAGAACACTCGGATGTTTCCTTTCAGTTCCTGTCAATGAAGATTAGAACTTATTAAGGAATTGATTTTACTTCAATGTAAATTTTTATCGACAAATTTTGGTTGGCTCAGGGAGTTACCAAAATGGTATTATGTAATTCTTTCCGCAGCTTCTCCCCTTCTATAAGTTTGTATTCCGCATCAGCCAATCGTCTTTGTAACTCATTTACGAGTTTCTGTTGGCCTTCGAATTCTGTTCTTGTCTCAATAGCAGATATATCGCAAACCTGAAATGAAGAACAAAAACAGTTATATCATAAAGTTCGACGAGGCAATCTTTTTTAAAGAATTTATGCCACGTTACCTCGAGTTTGTTCTCTGCAATTGTTAGCTTCTCTTGTAATTCCAATATATGATTATCTTGAAAAGTACATTTTGTCTGCACAGGAAAAGCATAGCCTCATTCATGTCTACGTAATAGGAAAAAGGATGTGACCGAAACGAAACCCGATAAAAAACCAACCTCCAATTCCTTTGTTTTCATGGTCAAGCTGTTCAGTTCAGAACTGGACTTTTCTGAAGAATCTTTAAACTTGACTATTTCAGTACTCAAAGTTTGCACTTGAGATATTTGGCGATCTCGATCGTCCCTCACTTGTTGCAGCTCGCTTCGAAGGGATGTAACTTCACTCGCAAAAGCATCCTTCTGTTTTGTAGCCTCTTCTTGAGAAGCCTAATGAAAACAACCAATCAAACTTCGTAAAACCTCTAACTTGCATACTAATAAAAACACGGTTTTCTGAAAAAACATAGTTTATTCACCATAGACAAAGTAAGCTGGCCCTTCAACATGGTAAGATTTTCCACTACAGTCGCTTTCTCTTTCTCTACACGCTTGAGATCACCTTCAACCGAAGAAAGCTCGGAATGAAGTTTTCCATTGTATTGCTGCAAGCTCGTTATATACTCTTGTAATCGCTTATACATGTCATTGAGTGATGATATCTGCAGAAATTCATCAATACATACATTTTAATAACAATTTCATGACATGACGACTTATTGAATTGAGATTATGCTAATTATACCTTCTGATTTGCAGTTTGAAGCTCTCGTTGAGCTCTACCAAGATCTTCGGATAACGTAGTTTGCGACCTTTCAAAGTCAAGCCTAGCCTCTCTCTCTTTAACAAGAGATTCCATCGCAGCCTTATGTAATTAAAATGACAAGTTTAGCATAAACCTTTCATGGTGTTTTGCATAAAAATTGAAAATTTTATTATACTCACCGATTTATCTGTTTCTTCCTTCACTAATTTCTCTTGCAAAGAAGTGCAATTTCTTCTCATTTCTGTAATAATTGAATTCAGTTCTTCTTCCTTGATTTTTAGCAGCAACTCTGCAATTTAAATGAATTAATTAAACAACATTAGTACACACAAATAGTGAGAATTTTCCAGCTTAACCAGAGATCTTGAGTTCGAACACGCAGCAGGGTTAAATTTTCTTGAGGGAGAGTTTTTCCGCGCATTGTGGTCCTTCTTGGCTCAAGGGATTAGTCTCTGCAGATGCGCGCGGAGGATACCCGGTTTCTACCAAGAATTTTCCAAAAACAAAAAAGGCAAAAACTAATTATAACAATAATAATCTTTACCTATTTCCATGCATTTTTGTTGAGACAATTCCAATGAACTCTTCAACTTCTCTTGCTCTAATGAGTAGCTCAACTCAAGGTCTTGGAACCATCTAATACAAACCTTAAGCCTTTTTATATAATCAATCATATTTTCACATCTTTCCTAAAAAAACACAAATTATGACATTAAATCCCCTTTGATCTCAAACCTAAAACAACCAAAACAAACACAATAAAACTAAATGCACAACAACTATTTTCGAAAGGCGATTTGAATTCGAACTCATTCGCTCGAGATTACAAGATCAAACTCTCACAAACCTTGTAATTAAATCTGTCTTTCCTTTTGGATTTCTCACTAAGCAAAGCCTCAACATCATCTCTTGTGAAATCCACAAAGCTTCCATAATCAGAACCAGCATTGCTTGGAGGAGTACTACTAGGACCAAGTTCATGTCCACCATTTCCAAATCCAAAAGAGAGTCTTCTTCCATTCATTGGAGTACCAACCATTTTTTTATCTTCTCTCTCTGCTTACTCTATGAGAAGGAGAAATTCATTCATCACCCAAAAACCTTGGGAAAAAAAACATCATAAAAATTACATTTTTAGCCTTGAAATCTCACTTCCAGTGAATAAAAATGAGAAAACACAAGAACCCATTACTTAAAATGGAAAAAAAATCATGGGAAAAGAGAAAAGTTTGTACCTTTGGAAAATTGGAAGGGGTTGAAGGTGTGAATGTGAGAGATATTATTATGAGTTAAAGTTGTGGTTTTTGAAGATGAAAACTTGAGTGAAGAGAGTGAGTGAGGAGAGAGAAACTAGTATTGTGGGGCCATGGATTGTCTTCAAAGCTAACAAGCTATGAAAGAGAGTTGCTTGAAGAAGAAGAGAAGAGATTGGTGGTGATGATCCACACAAACACACAGAAAAATCTTCAAAGAGAAAGAAGAGAATGAGAAAGTAAAAGGGTTACTTAAAAGGTAGAAAAGAGGTAGAAAAAAAATTAAAAAGGTTATTATTTTTATGTATTTATTAATATTATTATGTTGTTATGTATGTTGATAAATGTGGTTCCAATAGATTGTAGATCTGATAGTGTTGTGCTTGGTACTGTTTGTCAGTGAGGACATAGTTTAGATTTTTACTGCCTTTTGTTTTTTGAACTTCTAAAATAAGCTCTTCCCATCACGTGTAAGATTCGTTCTCCCATGCAATTCATTAACTATTGGATTATTAGAATATTCCTGTTTTTACTCTCTCCATTTTATAAATAATATTTATTTTTTAATATATTAAATAATTAATATATCTGATATTGATTAGATACATTAGTTATTTAATATATTTAAAAAAATAAAATTTGGTTATAATATAAAACTTAGTGAGTAGGGTGATATAAAAATATTATGTGAAATTAATTTTGATTAAAATAAATTTAAAAAATAGTGATTTATGTTTACATTATAAAAGTGTATGAGTTGATTTTTTATTAATTAGGCAAACAATGATTTTATTATAAAAAAATGTTTATAAATTTTTATGTGTGTAACAAAATATCTATTTATTGGAAATTAAAAATTAAATTGTAAAATTAGAGATAATGATATTTTACTTGAGAAAAAAAACAAGTTAGTGTTAAAAAAGGGACAAGGTAGGTAGGTAAAAAAAAGTTTATAAAACATGACATACTTTAGCCAGCAAATAGTGGTTGATAAAGATTTTATAACTGAATGAAAGCTTTTGAATTTTAATTTACTCTTAAATAATTTAATACACGTTAAAATTCTTTAAAAAAGATTAACCAGAACTATGACTAAATTAAACACTTGTATAAATATAGTTACATTTTCAGTACTACTATATGATTTTGTTTTAAGTGACCCCAGAATTAATTTCATTCCAAATTTGCAGGAATCTATGACACAAATAAAAGAAGATAAAATAATTGTTGTTTAGCTTAAAAAGAAGAATAAATTAATTACAATCATTTCCCTCACAAACTCTGCTAGAATAGGATCCAACCAAACTTCATCCATAATCTATAAACTTTGCCAACTTGCTTAGAATAAACAACTTTTATTTTTCAGTTGCTTAAGATCAGAGTAAAGAATTTTCTCTCATTTCCTAGAAAAGTTAGTGGAAAAAAATGAGAAGAATGAAAGCAAGTACCATATGATACATCAATTAGTTAGTGTTTCCATTCATTTCTTGGTACTAAGCTTCATTCCTTGTCCTTTTCTTATGACCTCTTTTTTAGGATTCTTCCTCAACAATGCTTCTAAAAATTGACTTATGGTCCTCTAGTTTGTACCCATAAGAAAAAGGTTTGTCCTATACGTGTTGTATTACTACATTAATAAGGAATTTGGATTCTATTTAGTAGAAGTCCATAAAGCCTGTCATTTTAAAATTTTGACTCGTTGGTATGTTAAAATGAACTCATCTACATGAAAACTGGTATGTAAGGCTCGAAAAATCATAAGATTTTAGTCTTAAAATTATAGTTTATATTTTTCAAAATTTTTTTTTGCCCAAACCTTTAAAATTCTCAGTTCATTAGAAATAGTTCATATAAGTTGTGGATATATCAATATAAATTTTAAGAAAATTATATCAATTTTTATATTGTTTTACTTTAAAATAACACATTAATTTTTTTTTATTTTACTAAATTTTATTTTTATTTTATTCAATTTTTCTCTTTTAATATTATATATTAATATAATCAATATTATTCTCTCATATTCTATTAGTTTTACTTATGTTGAATATTTGAGTATTATTTTATACAATGTAAACATGTATTATATTTAAAAACTATAGTATTTATAAAAGATAATTTGTACTTAAAAATGTATTATGTTTAAAATAATATAATTTTAATTTATTTATAATTATTATTATGGTATTTTAATTTGAATTTTTTTATTAAAAAAAGTTTGTTAAGGTCGGATAGTCCAAAACCCATCTAGACCCGAGATCGGGTAGTAATTTTCGAACTCATATTAAAAACAGTTTTTTTTTACTCAACCCTAAAAAGCTCGAGTCCATCAGAATCAACCCGTTTAGAGTCGGATGATCCATTTTAATAACTCTAATTAATTAGATCAGTAGATCACTGGTAGTACCGCAGAATTTACAATAATATAATTTTGTGTTTATTTAATAACATGATTTTTTTCAAAATTTTTATTAATTTATAGCATTATTATATTGTTTAATTAATTTTTTAATTTTTAAAATTTATTATATTATTTTATTATATAATTAATAATAAATAAATTTAGTGAGAATTATATCATAGAAAATTGTTGTAATTGTAAAATATATAACTCTTTGACCAAATTAAACATTAAAGAGATTTATAGTATAATGAATAAAATTATAATCCTAATAGATTTAAAAAATTATATGTTCAATTCTTAAAATTTGATAAAATTTCATTCTTATAATTTTAACACTATTATAAATAACTAATATAATTATAAATATTAATAAAATCAAATATTAAAACAAGAACACTAAATTTAAATAAAAAAGTTAGTAGATCAAAATTATAATCAATCTAAAAAATCAACTTTTAATTTAAAAAACTCATTAGTTTAATGGTCTAATCAATAAATTAGCCAAATCATATCTATTTTTTTCAAATTAATTACAATTATGCTTCCATGATCTTATTATATTATTTCACTCTCCGATTCATAGTTTAATCAGTGTGATGGATTAGAACATGCCGAATTTTATACCACTAATTCAACCGCAATAAAATAATTAAGAGTCATTTTTAATTATGATTTAATTATGTCAAATATATTGTGAGACATTATTTATATACAATTTTATCATAAAAAATTTGAATCATACTTGATGATGGTCGATAGTCTTTTGTGTTCATATGATCGTATTTGATGGTCGTATTTGAGACATTATTATATGATCAGTCATCTACTAATAGTGGACATCATTATCAATGCTAAGTGGAATAAAGGTTAAAATTCTTTATGTCATAATCTTGTTCTAGAAGTTCGGATCTTGCCCTTAAGCACCAATGAGTGTCGGCAAAAGTTTCAAGCACCAACACCAATCATGCACCATTCAATAAGTCTTTGTTAATTGCCACTATATACTAGTACATTCTTGGAGGTAACTCACTTATAGATATATTAATTTCAATTGCAATATGTGAAATTTGGTATAGTTGATTTTGGCCATAATTAGTAGTATAATTAGAAAAAGCAGTCTGTGTAATTTCTTTGGCTGCAAAAACTTCTTAAGCAATTCCGTGATTGATGCTTAAGTGTGTACAAAGGTTCATTTCTCAAAGATATGATTACAAGGTTTCCATTAGATGCAAAAACATACTCTTATATAACAACTAGGTCAATTAGGAGTGACAGACTCCATTTTTTGTTTTATTATAAAAAAACATAATTTTTTATTTTATTTTTATTTTTGTTTTATCATAAAAAAAATATTTAAAAAATATATTATTTTAATTTTTTTTATTTTTGTCTTATTATAAAAAAACAAAAAAAATATTATGTTAATTGTTATTATAATTTTGGTTTATTTTCTAGTCCTATATATATGGATTAGAAAAAACAAAGAGGAACAACCAAAAAAGAGACAACAAAAGAAATATTTGTTCTCTCACGGCTCTTTCTCTCTTTCATATTAAAACAAAATAAATAAATAAAAGGTCATACTTCATCTTCACACAAGTTCATGAATAACAACAATAAAGCCGTTTTTCTTTCAAGCTCGTAATAAATCCAAAAAGTACCATGAAAGTCTCTACATAACAAAGCGGAACATCCACAATCATGCACACCTTCGGCATTGTTCAGCCTCTATTTGTGGTAGTTTTCTCTTATCCCTTTCGTTTTATATTCATAAAAACTTTTTATTGATTTTGTATGTTTTAGTTTTTAGAAATCTTGTTATAAATATGTTAGGTGTTTAGAAATCTTTTTTTCTCTTTTTGTCAAAACAATTTTTTTTTAAAATAAAAAAAAACAAAATTTAAAAAAAATATAACAAGCATTTTATCTTAATGTTTGTGATTGTTTTTCTTTTACTTTGTTTATATAGATTTATGTGGGTTGTCTAATTTTATTATTTATTGTTTTGTTTGTGACTGTTTAATTATATTTATTTTCCATTAGCTAGAAAAAGTAATTAATTGAATAATAGATAAAATACAACAAAAAAACATAAAATCAATTTTTTTAAAAAGAAGAACAAAAAATAATAAATATTCGATCCAACGTCGAGACACTTTTTCTCAAGTCAAAACGAACGAGCTCATTTTATTTTCGTGCTTGCGTTTATTTCTTTAATTGAGTTTACTTATAATCTTTTCATTCATCTCCATCCGACAAAATATACCCCGTTCCCATTAAGTGTAATAATTTTATCGCTTCCATCTTGATTGTATTTTAATGTTTTATCCATCTCTCACTTACACGCTCAAACCATTTTCATACTAATTTTCGATTCAATAT